AACACCCATTGGTATGTCCCCATATAGAGCTAATGTATGGTAAGCCATGTCATCTCCCTGTCGAGATAGAGCACAAAGCATTCAGGCTATCAAGCGGTGCAACATGAATTGGAATGAAAACATTATACACGTAAAGTTACGACTCCGGGAGTTAGAAGAAATTCGGAATGATGCTTATGAGAACTCAAAAATCTATAAGGAGAAAACCAAGGTTTTCCATGACAAGATGATTTCAAGAAAGGAGTTCTCCATTGGTCGGAAGGTTCTTTTATATCATTCCAAACTCAAATTATTTCCAGAAAAATTACGATCTCATTGGCTCGGACCGTTTATCATAACCAACGTATTCACACATGGAGCGATCGAAATCCAAAGCTCAACGAACTTCAAAATCATTCAAAGTGAATGGCCATAGATCGAAGCTCTTTCATAAAGGAGTGCCATTTGCAGAAGAGGATGAGGTAGAGTTGACAAAACCTCGTTTATGCGAGCCATAAACGACGAATCACGTCGAGCTTCCGACGTTAAACTTAGCGCTTACTGGGAGGTAACCCATGTTTTATCTTTTCTTATGCTTATTTTTTTAGTTATTTAAACTTTTTAGTCGTTTTTGTTATTTTTGTTTGAATTTAGGAGTCCGCGTGGCCACGTTAAAATTAGCGTGCCCACGCTGTCGGGTTACGTCTGCGATAGTTGTAGCGGGTTTTAGTTTGTTTTTATGAAGTCTTCTCCTTCCTTTAGTTTTTGTGCGGGTTATATGTCAAATTAACATTTACGGAAGGTGGACATAGCGTTTTTACCATGCGGAACTCGTTGAAAAAGACTATTTGGGCCAATAGCAATGCAAGTTGTGATTTTAAATGAGGGTAGAATGGACAAATCACCATTCCTTATATGTATTTAAATGAAACGCAACACTTCAACCTCCACTCCCTTCCCTTTACCTAAACCAAATGTAGCACCCCAACATCTCTTACACCCTAAATCACACTAGCATTCTCTTTCCCCAAATTCAACCCCAAATGGGTCTCCTCCTTCACAAACTCGTCATCCATTTCAGCTAGATCAACATCACAACGACCTTCATCTTCCCCTTAATCCATGAACACCACCTATAGATCTGCTACAGACTCTTCCTTTTTCCTTAATCAATTTCCCTAACCCCAATCTCCTTCCAAATACCCAACAAAACCCCCAATTTCCCAAAACCTAACCCGTGACTCCCTCCCCTCACTCATTTTCTACTGTCGCCACCATGAGAACAAGGACCCAAGCAAGATCTATTTATATATAAGCTCTATTTATTTCTTGATTGTGTGTTGTCTTTGTAAGTTGAATTCTTCTAGAACTTTCCTTGCTATACATTTTGAGACTACATCTTTGGATTAAATGCATTGAGATGATAAGGGCACCTAGGATTAGCCAATTTTAAACCTCTTAAAAGCCTACCCCGATTTTTACCCTCGGGAGCCAAGTTTGAGCCTTAGCCTTTTCTTGATTAAATAACCATAATATAAACCAATCAACCTCTTTATTTGATATATAACCCCTGTTTGAACCTAAGTCAAGAATTTTATTCATGTCCAATTAAGTGAGATTATGATTTTGTTGAAGAAATTACCAAAAATGGTTCGTCGTCCGATGCTTGTAATTCACTAGTGCATGTTTCTAGCTGTAATTAGTTTCTTCAAAAACAAAGAAGAAGAAAAAAAGAAAAAGAAGAAGAAGAAGAAAGTAGCGAGGAAAGAAAAAGGGAGAAAGAATAAAAGAAATAATGAAAGAAGCAAATTGGGATTAGCAACGTAGGAAAAACAAAAGTGAGCATGAAATGCTTGAGGAAGTCGGAATTTAAAGGTTGAAATTTGTGTAGGACTTTTGACTTGTTTAGACTAAATTAGCCTCCACCAAACCTCACCCACGACCCCATTTCACCCTATCATAAGACCTTTTGATTTTTGCGTTTGATTCAATACTTAGTAGTGGAGATATGATAACTTGGCAAGCTTATGGTTAGGATTCTTTTATGCATTGACTTGAGAGTGACAAATACATTCACCCTAAACACTATTAGCGCTTTTGAGAGAATTCTTGGTAAGGGTGATGAATTTGGTTGCATTTCTAATCTAAGCCGATGGTTGGGGGTTCGTTATGCATGATTGTGGAAAGTATGGATTTTCTATATCAATTGCCTTGTTTTTGTCTTGTTTTTGGTTCAACTCCGTGAAGATTTGTGTTCGATGTATGGAAAGACTGGTTGATACGGAATGAGGAGTTCAAATGGTTGGTTTGATGAGTCCGGATTCTTACATGCTTGAGGGCAAGCATGAGCTAAGTGTGGGGGATTTGATAATGCTTAAAACATGTGTTTGAATTGCTAAATTCTCCTACATTTTACTAGTTTGAGATGTCTAAATGATAAAACTTAAGTGCCTTTTGTATTCTATGTGCTAGGTGTGGAGCCGATTAAAAAATGGTGTTAAAAGAGTTATATAAAGAGATTTTGCGATCGAGCCAATTCAACTACTTGGAAAACACAAGAAGCGTGGGCACGATAAGTTTATTAGCATGGCCACGCTAATACGGCAAACGCACAAGCACGAGGACCCGAAGGCGTGGGCACGTTGCAACTTGACGCGGACACGCCGAAACCTACGAAACGGACAACGGACTGCAAAAAGAAACAAAACTTGAGTGATTTGCTCGAAAAAGATGCCGACCTACCAAAAGAAGAGAGAATATTATGTACCCTTTTTGGAAAATAGACACCTTGTATAAATAGAAACCTAGCAGATTAGGGCAAAAAAACTTTTAGGTATTATTCTCATAGGAGGCGACCTTATTTCTCTCTCTCTCTAGCTATGGTGGTCGCCATGAGCAGCTAGACTCTTCTCCTTGGTGAAGGTAATCGAAGCTTTTGGAAATCAAAGATTTTGAGGTGCTTAAACATTAATGTAAATCGGTTTATTTATTTTAAGTATTGAACTTTCTTCTATGCTTATTTTAATGATTATTTGGGTTAATTTCTAACGTGTACGGTTAGTTTATTAGCTTAGATAATCTATAGCTAGATCGAATATTGAATCCGTAATTGTTCAATCCCTTTGATTTGTGTAGCAACTAGGAGTGTATGGTTTCGTCGCATCGAAACTAATGACTCTTAGGAGGATTGTTCAACTAGATTAAATGCAACCACATGTGTTGTGTTGTCTTGCTTTGTGGATCTTTCTAATACATAAAGCCATTGTTTGATTAAATATTAGATCGTATCTAGGGTTGTTAAATAATGAGGGTTGATTAGAATATATGTTTCTAGTTGGCTAATCATAAGGAAAGATTTATTTCAATATCACAACAAATATTTGAATGAAAATCGATATTTCGTGCACCAAGGATAAATCTCAAGTTTCAAAAGTGGATGTTACCCAAACCAAGGTTTGTTTACTTGAATATTTACTTTAAACTCATTTTCTAAATTCAATTTGTTTAGTTTCGGTTATACCTCAATCAAATCAAAACCCCACTTTTTATTTATTTTATGTTTCTTCTAGACTTGTGACGACTAACACGATTGAATTCCTAGTGGGATCGATCCCTACTCTCCCTTACTACATTTATGTTATAGGAGCTTAGGAGTTTAATTTGGGTGCACACGATAGCACAACTACCATCACGTCTAACCCTTCCCCTATATGAGACTCGGTTCTTCAAGACCAAGGGTGTAGACACTGGGACGCGTAGGTCCAATTTCATTTTTTTTAGTTATTATTATTTTTATTTGAATTTGTACTTAGATTCTAAAAAACTCAAAAAATTATTATTTGAGTTTTCAACAACCTAGGAAGAAAGAAATATTAATTAGAGATGGCAATGGGGCGGGCGGGGATCGCCATCCCTATCTCCATCCCCGCTCCGTCCCTTAAAAAAAAAACCTATTCACCGCCCGTGCCCCGTTTGGGGTGAAATTTCGCTCCCCATCCTCACCCCAAACGGAGCGAGGCGGGCGAGACTCGACTCCGCCAAATTACCTTTTTTAAAGGTAAAAAGGCGGGGTGGGGGTGGGGATCCCCATCCCCATCTCGTCTAAAAAAGAAAACAAACCCATCCCCTCCTCGTGCCCCGTTCGAGGCAAAATTTCACGCCCGATTCCCGCCCCAAACAGAGCGGGGCGGCTTCGAGATGGGTTGGATTGCAATCCACGATATTAATGATGAGTTTTCAAATTTTAGACGTAACATATATTTCAAATTATATTATTCTTATTATTTAAAATTTATGTTTTCAATTTTTAATTTTTTATAGACATTCTCATTCAATTAATTTTATTTTTTCCTTTTAACTATTTTTTTTTATAAATACAATTTATTTTTCTGTATGTTTAGATTTGAACTTCTTCTTATTTTTTTTCCATATAATGATATATATACTTTTTTGAATTTTTGTTTTTAAATGGATTATGATGCCACTACATGTCATCCTTACCTGTTCGGCTCTTCACAATCGGGTAATAGTTTATCTCATTAGCACGGATCAAGTCTTCAAAAGATTCTGTTAATCTAACGAGGTCTCTATCATAATCGTTTTAAAAAACAACTTAATAAATCATTATACAGAATATGATGATTCGTTTATTGCATATTTTATTGAATTTATTATTTAGTATTTATTTTATTGGCGTTCATCTTGCTTTTCATAAATAATTTTGTTTACCCATCCATCTTTCATACCCATTAAACTCCCACCCAGATTCCAGGCCCATTAATAGATGAATCTAGAAATCCACGAGTTCTTGGATCAATTTCTTTTATACCCAAAAGGCTCATACCCAACCCATTATTTATTTCTCCTAACGTCACCACAATTTAGATTGCTCATCTCTCTCTTGAAAAAAAGAGAAAAGAAAAAAAAGGCTAAAAATCAAATCGCCCTCTCGCCTTCTGCAACCCAACGAAATTAACTGTAAAATCACAACAGTCCACCAGAACTGCAACACTCACACTTAAATGGCAGCCTCTTCTCCAGTCATTAGCAATAATAGCTCCGACACCGGCCAAACCGCCATCTCCGCCGCCGCCTCGGTGTCTTTCAGCGCACCACCGAAGACTCTCCGCGGCCTCAACAAACCTAAGTGTATTCAGTGCGGAAACGTTGCCCGCTCCAGGTACATATATGTACATGTGAACGCGCATATGTGTTTATACGGTATCGTTTTTGTTTTTGCAGTTAGGTATTGTTGGTTTCAATTTGGAATCACTTAAAAAAATTGAATTTAAGACGTGTAATTGTTTGAATTTTTTATGAAGATAGTTACTTAATCAGATGTGAATGATCGGTACCTAGTCCTACCAGTATTGTATTGGATGATATCAGTGAATTCTTTTGAGTGGTACTGGTCAATAGAGGAGTTAATTTACCAGGGGATAAACAATTGGCGATTTACTTTCTCTGTCGTCTTGAAAATGCATTGTGTGAATGTTAACCCGTCTGAGAATTTTAGCCATCTCAAGCGAAATTTTATACCTATTGTGGAGCTTTTTTTGGGAAATTTTCCTAGGTGTAGTGAACATAATTATTGGTTAAAAAGTGCTGTTATGTAGCTGTGAACTGGTTATATCAGGGTTCTCGACAGAAGAGTATTTGGAGATAATCCTACCTTTTCGTGCGTATTTTTTTTGTGTGCTCGGGTATTGACTATTAGGGTATATGTTTGTTTGTGCGGATTGCTATTCAAGGAGAGAGGCGTGTGTTTAACTTCCTTTCCAAGTCCAGTGGAAACTGACCAACTCAATTTGGTATATAGAGATTCCAGTGGTGTGCTGAACAGCTGATTTTGTTGTTTGATTTATTGGTTTGTATATAAAGCCAATCTAGCAAGTGCCTTTGTTACTGTCAGTGCTGATATTTAATGCATGCTTAGTGGATAGGTTTGTGATCTTTGAAGATCCTACTCTAGTGTGCATGTGTTAGAGAAGTATATATTGATCATGACCATCACTTGCCTTTTATTACTGTGCATGTATCTCTAAAAAATTGACATTTTTTCCACTCTCTGAACCTTTTAGAAATGGAACTATCTATGCAGGTGCCCTTATCAGTCGTGCAAAAGTTGCTGCTCAAGAGCTCAAAATCCATGCCATATTCATGGTACGAAAAAATTATTGTGTAAATCATGTCAAACAACTACTCTTTTTGTTGTGCGTTATTTCCCAACATTGAGTTTTATATGAAGTTTTTGGAGGTTCCTTGTCTTCTTATGGAAAGAAAAAACTAAAATGACATATTTATTTATTTTTTTGGGAGAAATCTATTCGCTGGTAATCCTTGATCTTTCAGATGTAACAATAAGAATTACAGGTTTGCGCATTGATCAATTTATATTTAGACACATTGATGGCCTTTTTTACTTTTCGTGCTTTCTTAAACTTGATTTTGACGGTAGATACTTTAGTTGAGCTTGGTTGAATTTGGTTTGTTGGGTGCAAGAAAGGAGGAAAATCTTAGCCATTTGTTTATTCACTGTCATGTAGCAGTGGAGTTTTGGACTGTGATCACTCCTTCTGTTGGAATATGTTGTGTGCTTCCATGTTGATCTCTTTATTTCTAGGAAACTGGCAATGCAAGGTTGTGTCCATGGAAAAGAAGCTATGGGATTAGCTTCATCCTGTTCTATGTTGGTTGATTCAGACATAAAAGGGGCAAATAGAGTGGTCTCTGGAGGGGATGCGACCTCCATTTTTACGTGAACAGCTCTTTCCTTGACAGTTCGAAGGTGTTGGAATTTACTATTTTTTTTGTTTGTGAGCTAGTAGATGAGTTGTAAGTAGCTAGATAATGTCCTGTGTGCATTTAGTTTTTGAGAAGTGGTGCCCCCTCTTAGCTATATTGATTATTGGTCAGTGTATTTGCATCTTACTGGCAAGAAAGATTTCTTACGGTCAGTTATGTGGTAATCTACGCTTTTGAATTAATATGATTTGAGGGTTTGGATTCATAGATGAAAGGTTTGGGTTTGTAGAGAACTTGAGTAAGTTTAAGCATTAAAGGAGAAAGGTAGATTATACTTGATAAATCAAGTTGCTGGAAAGTCCTAGCGGAGTTTGATTTCTTTGGTGTGACGTAATCATGTAAATACCAAAAGAAATTTAAGAATTTGGATATTGAGGTTTAGAAAATAGAGGAATAAGGCTGGTTGTGAAGGGAAAAATGGATACTGTAAAAGAGGAACTTTGGCTTGAATTCAGGATGTCACTCTTATGAAATGTGGATGCTCCAGTACCTGAACTATGAAACAGGAGCCTGTCTATGGATGAGTTGGGTAAACACTGAAACCTGTCTGAGAATTTCCCAAAATTGGTGAACTAATTTCTCATTCTTATTTTCTTTTTCTCTGATATCATCAAGGGAAATTTAACCTGAGATACGAAGTATAATAAAATAGGGGGTCTTATAGAAGATTGGCAACAGTCTGAGCACCTGATTTTCCTTCATAGATTTGTAACTTGATTTCTTTTAGGTTTCTAATTTAATAAAGAGGCTTGAATGCATGATAATTTAGCTTTAAAGGTTAAGGAAAATTTGCAATTGATGTTTAGCTGACAGGTCTTTGTCAATGTTTTGCGAATGGTTTTGGAGAGATGCTGTGTAAAAGAATGTTCTTTTTCACAATTTTTGTTTTTATTACTGGAAGCTTTATCTAAATGCTTGTAGAGATGAGCTCCTCGACATGTTGTACTGTAAATGACCTTTTCAACATATTATGTTCTGTTGTACCTCCTGCTTCCTAGGTTGGAAATAACTAAATAAAAGCAGCGGAGAATTAAAGAAAATGCTTATAACTAAGTGCAAAATAGGAGAGGGGGTTGAACACTGGGCACACATTTCTTCATAAACCAAAAAGGTTGAATTTCCACCAATCAAAGTCTCTTACCTTTAAGACCACATGAAAACTTATGTCCTTTTCACTGTTCAGATGAGATTATGATTGCTTGGTTCAAAGCTAACAGATAAACACCTAAAGTTGACAAAAACATACCTAAGACATAGAAACCCACGGAAGCAAATCATGTGAGTTGAAGTTATCTTTAGATAAACACGCTCAAGGATTCCTGAGTTGAAAACTAACAGATAAACACCTAATGGACTGGCCTAAATTTGAACAAAATATGCCCAAGACGAATAGAAATAACTAAATTATGCTAATTGTTATCATGACTATAAAATGATGCATTTCACCTAGTCACTCTGCTGCCACGGCTGATGTAGGGAACTTTAGATTCATGTCTGAACTACTTATGCAAAGTCACGTTGATATGGACACAGGTTTAAAGTCCCAACTGCTAATTTCCCATATATATGTGTGTGGGTGTCTGTATATGTGCAACGGTAGCAAGACCAGATGTCAATATTTGATGCATTGTCACACAGATTGTAAGAATGTCGAGTTCCTTTGAACAACTTGCAGAAATTCAGATGCCACATGATTTTGGCGACTGGAAGAAAATGTTACCTAATACTTTTTAACCTATGATTACGGGTGATGATATTGATGTTTAAGTGATCAATGGAGAGAAATGGAGCATGATTCCATTTGGGATTATTAATTGTATACAATTATTATTTTTTCTCGTGGTACTATCTACTATATATATTTTATTTATTATTAGTATTATTATATAATTATTTTTAATGACAAGTTACTCACTTATGTTTAGTAATGGGATTGTTCACTTTAAAATCTAGCTAATTTCTTGAATATGGTATGAATTTAATTCTAGTTTGATAAAGTCCATTTGAAAAGAACAAGTAAATGGTCAGCATGTCATTTTGTACTTGGTCTGTTTTACATCCTCATTTATGTAAATGCAGTTCTTAAAGCAAATGCAACTCCAGACAAGACTCCAGTTTCAAGCACTCCTCTCTTTGACCTGCAGCCGAATGAAGTGCCTCCTGCAGCGTAAGTTAAATTCCTGTTTGCAAGCATGCCTGTTGTGTACATCCATATTCATTCTTATGTCATGTGTTGTGACTTGGATGCTTGACAAAGTATATCAAGCAAGAAACTACCTTACATGTGGTTGGACTTTTTTACAATTGTAGATGATATCTCCATTAATGACTTTTTAACTGAGGGTAGGTCATAAAGTTTGCCGTATAACTCAAAAGAAGGATATGGGACATGTTAGTACATTCAATTTTCTTCTCTTAGTTATGCGAAGTAGTGAATTCTTTAGTTCTCTATTCTTACCATTGCATTCCTTGTTTCTTCCTTCAAAATATGCTTTGCTTTTCAAAAGTTCTTGTTCTTGTTTGCTAAATGCTTCCTTTACTTTTTTTTTTTTCCTTTTCATTCGACTTCTTTGACCTGGTCGTCTTACTCTGTATTACTTACTTTCTTGGTTTTATCCGATTTCTGGTTTGTTTTGAACCATGGTTGTTTCTTTTTGTTGCGATGTGTTTCAGGAGTTCGCATAGAGCTGCATCACTTCGGCAACTTTCTAGCAATTTTTCCCAATTCAACAATTTGCATTCTCCACTCCGTTCAAGGAAACCATTGACCAGAAAGGTGCGTTATGATAAGCTGATATGCACCATTGGTGATTCTGTTATATTCTGGTGCAAGAAGTTTTTTTTCTTGATCTAAAGGATCTATTTCAGGAAGCTGCGGCTATAAATGAATGGAGGTTTTCCAAAATGAAGGAATTCAAGGACAGAAACATCGAAGTGGAAAATGAGGCTTTTGATCGGTACATGTATAATATTAGCCTACTGGAGGAGGTATTTTCTTTGAAATCTTTCCGAGAAGGCTCCACTGAGGATGGATCATTCTCTTCAAACCACGACCATGCTTCTGCAGAAGCAGACACAGAAGGAAAAATGGTTTCAGAGCAGAAGTTGAAGCTCAGGTCAAATCCTAGCAGGACTGAGAATTTCCGTAAGAGGTTACAACAAATTGTTGATGGGGGATTGAAGAAGCTTCAGAAAGTTGAGTTGAATAATGGGAGTGTAAATAACCAAAATGAACTTGATAAAAGGCCGGAGAAGGCAAAAAGTTTGCGGGCGGAGAGGGCTTCAGCTTTAAGTGATCTTATTGACAGGTTAAACAAGGCCCGCAATGAAGAAGATCTTAAGTCATGCTTGGAGATGAAGGCCCAACTCTATAGTCAGCAGATGGGGTCTAGAACAGAAACAAAAGGTGTTGAGGTATTGAAGGAGCAGACTGCCAGAAAAGACTTGGCACCCCAAAAAGAATTGGATTATTTTTCACAAAAATTGTTTAGAACAGTGGAAATTGACCACGAAGCTCTGACTAGCATAGATGCACACTTCTCTTCCCTAGAAAAGATAGAAGATTTGTGATGTGGTTAGGTCTTTGATAGAGGATAGAGATTAGGTTAGTCTAGAAGACTGAAGGTATCAAATTTACCGTTTAATACTGATCTAGTCTGGTGGCCGGAACTTTTCCCGTTTCGTTTTGTCCATTCTTGGATGTCATTGTTGTGTAAAAATTGTTGCAGTTGATATGGCAATTAGTAAAATTCATGTGGCATATAAATGCCTGTGCGTAAATATCATGTATTCAATTGTGAAAATGCCGCGAAGGTTGATTGCATTTTGCTTTTAAGGGTAAAAGGATCGTGTTATGCGATCTCTACAGCAGTTTCAATTGGTTCGTCCTGTCGTTGTTTACTGTGCAGAGATAATTCCACCGATAATGTTTGAAATGGAGTTGGGCCATTCCTATACCGGAAGCTGCTTGGTCGTGGGAAAGATGACTTGGAAGTGGGCTGTGCTTCATATTTTGAATTGGATCCAATGTGCTCAGCAGGACCAGCGCCTAAGAATGCGACTGTATTAATAACTGTTCGACACTCTTAGAGACATCAAACGAGAAAAAAAAATAAAATAAAAAAATAGACATGATAATTGAAGGGAAACTTGCCGGGGGCAGCTAAGAAACTGGGTCAATAGCCAGGGATATATTTTCTTTGAGAACAGTAAGATATTTTCTTAGCGGCCATGCGTTGTATTACCTAGCATTCACGGTGGATCTCTCGTATTCTTTACCTTTTAACTTTTAAGAAATCCCAATTTGAAATAGGTGGTTTTCAAATGACATCACCTGCCCAATCTTTCCGGAAGCTTTCACCAAAAAAATATTGCTCTCTCTCGAGTCATAATTTACGGTTTGTTTGGGTGCTCCAATGAATTGAATTCATGTAGTCCTGTTTTTAAGAGAATCTGATGGTTCAACCTCTTGTTTTGATTTGAAAACATTACAAGTGGAACCCACCAAAGACAAGGAAAAATGGCCTAGAGAAAAAATTCTACAACTATGGTCTAATTTGAATTGCTCATATAATTACGGAACAACCGAACAATCCCTTGCTCGATTATTTATCTTTGAATCAAAGTCATATTGGTTTTGCTGGTGCCTTCATAAAACGAATCCTAAATGGGTGCCCTTCTAAAGGAACATACAAAACCACTATGACAAAGAAATTCCAGCTTTCTGAATTTTCCCTCAAAGCTATTTTTGGAGCCATTAAATTTTGTAGGTTTCTTAATGGGTGTTGCTTTTCTTGCCTTTATTCTCCTATATACACAATTCTCAACCCACAACAACCTTTCTTGGTGGATATCTATCTTTCTTTACTGATCATTTTTCCTTGAAATAAGTCTGTCGTTGCTTTCAATTTCTATGGCTATATTCATCTCAACGTCACCTTTTCAAGGACCTTTGATTTGTATTTTTATCAGCCCCATTATAATGGCCACTGCTTTCAACCAGTTGATCTTAATCATGATTCTTATTAATTGATTTTTGGTTCATTATAGACTAAATTATTGGGCCACCAATAAAAGAAAAGGAAAATGGAGTAAAAGACTTTTGGCATTGAGGATCGCGATAATAATGCAAGAGAGAAATCCATTTCCAAGCTTAAAAAAGTTGTTCTTTTGGGATATAAAATGCCACTACTAAGTGGGGAATTTTCAATGGATAATCAAAGTAATCCAACTTTAGGGTGAAGTGATTGATATATTTACCTCCTTAAATTAGAATTATCAAAATCCAGCTTGACAAAGTCCCTGTCAGCAAATTATTCTTAATTTAACACATGGATCTATGGCATGTACACAAGCAGAAATCAAATTCTTCAACTATCCCATTTCTTGGACTTTCAATTTCACATGCTTTCCATCTGCACTTTCTTGATTCAAATCAAGCTGATTAGTTTAAGAAAGTCCACACAAAGACGCACCATAATAATTATGTTGTTGATAAAGATTAATTAATCAAAGAAATTAAAGCTATAGGAACATCACATGTAATGGTCATTTCCTAACACATTGACTGTTTGTATTGAAAAAAAAAAAAAGGTAGATCCCTGGTGGCTATCAAGAAAGCTCAGATCGGCAAGGCAGCATCATTTTCTGTGATGTTCGGTCACATACGTATTCCTCTTTTTTAAAAAAGTCTTCACCCATGTGTATGTGCAGCCAAGAATCATGGCAGGGCTGTGATTGATGCCCTTCCAATGACAGAAGGTTTTTATGGTTTCAACAATGCCACTAAACTTGAGTAAATTATAAATTAGTCTCTCTACTTTTTAAAAATGAATAAAAAAAAAACTAATTGTTTTTTTTTTGTATTTTTAATTTTTTTTATAACTCCATTCTTTTCGGTCTTTTTTTCAATTTATATTATTTTTTTAAGAAATAAAAAATGTGAAATGATTGATGAGAAAAAATAACTTTTTAAAATTAAATTAATCATTCTTAACGTTATTCAAATGATTAAATAATTAAGAAACCCTAAAAAATCCTTCACCTCGATCGATCAAGTTCTCTAGTACGTACTAACGGATCAGTAATTTAATTTCAGGCTAATATTCTTCTGTTTAGTTTGATCTCACTGGTCAAATTAATCTATTGATAATCATTTCAAGTAATTAAGGAAGCCTTCCATAATTTCTTTTGGTTTAAACTTGTTATTATATATATGGAGTAGTATATATTATATTATGATGACTTTCCCATCTCAATTTGGAAAATTACTTCTAGCAGGCAGACCTCCTAATTAATTTTGCAGATGAAAATGACGTAATAGTGACCCATTAGGGTAAGTTAGATAGGCAAACCTGATCGAGGACATGATCCAAACGAAAGAGAACAATGTTGGAGATTAGAAACTCACATGGTCCCTACAAGGGTGTAACACTTCCCAACTGGCTGCAGTTTGTCCTTCCTAAACCATCAACCAAACATATATTCCAAGTGGAGTCGCTTGGCTTACCGCTGTGCCCAATAGTTCAAGAAATGTTATGTTAAATTATTTGAATACTATATAATGCGTAATTGACAAGCAGCAAATTGGGGATTAAGTCAAGAGAAGCAGGTGCAGGACACTCCATTCCACATGACACGTTAAGACACACATGCTCCGTGATAAACGATTTCTGGAGATCATTCCAAACAAGAAATTCCAAACCCTATTTAAGCTTTCGAAAGGTAACGTCTCAACCGAATAATATGGTTCATTGCAGAGCTCCATGCATTAATTAGACCAGTACGATCACATGATCATCATCACGACACCTTAAGCAATAATATATATGTGGTTGGTGAAGTATGAGTTTAATTTGATGCTTAATTATCTTCATACTTGATTTTTATTTGGAGGAGTGGTTTCTTAATTAGCTAGCATGTTTATTTTAATTAGAGCAACAGGTTAAGGATAGGGATATGAGAGCTAATTAAAATTCAAACAATATGCACCTCCACAGGCCAGGTGATAAGCACCCATCCAGAAAAGAAATGTTAATTACGACAATTTTATTCTAAATCATTTTCTAAAATCTCATCTATTTACTGTGGTTTCTAAATGCATCTTATATAGTTTTTTTTTTTTTTTTTTGTATTTTTTTAACGAAGTGCTCGATAGTTAAAATCTTTCACGTTATTTTTTGAGGTCAAATTTAAATATGTACAAGACAAACAAATGATTTGCACAATTTTAAATATTTGCAAATTTCAATTTCAAAAAAAAGAAAAGAAGAAGCTTACTTGAGAAAAAAAAAAAAAAAAAAAATATATATATATATATATATATATATGGGAATAATATAAAATCATTTATGTAAACTACACATTGGCCTTAGTGTACGTATAACTTGTATTTAATCAAAGTTGGTTGATTTTAATTTATTAATTTATTTATTGAAAGATAGTAGTGAGAATAATGATAAAATCAGCAAGATGATGTTTTGATACGTTGGAAAAGTAATTAATTTGGACAAAATTCAAAGGATTGTGGGGTGGGGAGAGGATGGCTTGGTGGTATATGGAGATGGAAGAGTGTCCTCTTTGGACCAGCATGCAATAAGTGAACTTTGTCGGCATTTTAAATAATCGAGTGCAATGAATATTTATAGATGGGTTAAATGTACTCTGGAAAAGTAGCCCATTTCCATGAATCTTCCCCGCACTTCAAATGTTATATTCACGGATATAGTAAAATACTGCAAAGTGTAATACATGCATGCATGCATGTCAAATGGATCCGATCTTTTACCCCTTCTTTTTCTTTGATTTCACTCTTTCTTTTTTCCATTTCTTTTGTCCTTCGTATGTACGTGTATATCAGACAGAAGCCCTCCTTGCTTCTGAAACATTCACATTTCAGTAAATTATTATTGCTCTGACACTTAATTTTAGAACAAAATCATGCTATAGTCTACATCCCATCGATTTGAAAACTCGACTAGCTAGACGTTGGCCAGGCGTAAGTTCAGCTTAGTTCAGGATAAAGGCTCCTTGTACGAGCCAAAATAGCTGCCATAATAAGCTGGCGGGGAGGAGTGATTGAATATCATCGTCCCATGTGTTAGAAATGAATTGGCCGAGGCAAAGATTTGATTGTGAAATTAGGGAAGAATTCATGCATGCCGGTGATTAATGGGGCCTATATAGAATATGTCTTCTACTACGATTTTTCATTTCGGCCAATCAAGCATACGAACTACTATATATTTGTGCGTGATATGATGTCACTGGATATTTCAAATCGCGCGACCATTACCGTTCCAAATTGATCATTCAACTTAAGTTGTTTAATTTTGAGATATATTCGAGGAAAAAAAGAAAAAAAAATACATGTATCAAATGGCTTAAATTAATTGTGCAGAACATGAAAAATTCTAAAACATAATTATTGACGATTTAAACTTCAAATCAATTTAATTGCCATTTAAAACTTAGAAGATGAAAATTTTTAGCTGCATTAAACTGATCTGTGACAAAATAAGTGATTAATTTAAATTACATACATATTCTTTTCATTATTGGTAAATTAAATCAGCAATTGAATGTATCATTTATCACAAAATTTAAAATATTTTGGATGAAATATAATTTCAATAGACTATCCCAAAATCAAACAATATATATATATAAGATTGAAAATGAATTATCTATTATAAATTTTTTTCTAAAAAAAATAAATTGGATAGAATCTAATCTCACATAAAATAATAATTAAAAAACAATATAAAAATATAAGATTGAAAATGGATAACGTACGTACCACTAGACTCTTTACCTTTGTTTTGGTTGAGGGATTTAGTTTACGTCTTTAGCTTTTATCTTCATTCGATGGGTTTCTGTTTGTGCTTCTTGAATAGTGGCTAAATCAACGACTTCTGATTTTGTTTCTAAGTTTTTCTACAGCAATCTTATCTCATTTTCCGATCCAGGGTTTCGCTGTTTGGAGCTCTGTTTGCACCTCTGGCATCTACTGCCTTTTGTTATGTGTTTTTGGTTTATTTGCTTTCCCTATCGAATATTCAATTCTCTAGTTTTTATAATAATAACGATAATTGAAAAAACCGACATAATTCACCAATTTAGCAAATTTCTGCATTTCTCATGTCTGTTTTGGGTTTTAATTAAATGATAATTGACCAATATTTTAGCATACTGAGAACATTTTGCAATCTCAAGTATTTTATATATGTATGTATGTATGTTAACTTTTACGTACCAAGACCATAAAGTAGTGACAGGAATAAATTGTAGAAAAGTTTGTGGTTTTTGTGTGGCATCAGAACATGGGGGAAGCGGAACCCTAGCTATAATTCTAACATTATCTTCTGGGTTAAATTGGAAATTAATTAAGCAAACTTAATTGTGTAGCTTCTCGCACGTCGATTTAGAACTTCTCAAAGACTTGGCTCGAAGCAAGCAGTTAATTTGAGTATAATTAATCTGGATAGATTTCTTTCTTTCTCTTCTTCTTCTTCTTCTTCTTCTTCTTTTTTTTTTTTTTTTGGTCGGATGCGTTGTTCCCTTGTGATCACTCTCAAACCATGGTCATTTCTTATCAGATATATGATATTTTATTCGGTTAAAGTATTCAACTTTCGAGTTGTAGGACATCATCCACATATGCCCACCACACCCCCTCCCCCCCCAAAAAAAAGGACCATTATTTATTAATTTATTTATCATCATCGAGATGATGATATTCTTGCTTGTGACTTGTGATTATGTTAGAAGTGCATAGGTTTGGCCACTTGGAGAGAGAGAGAGAGAGGCAAAGAAGGCTTGACCTAATCCAACTAATAAGAAGCAAACATATGGTTGATCCTACACTGAAATTGCAAGACAAAGGAATATATATATATATATATATATATATATATATATATATATATATATATATATATATATATGAAGACAAAAGATTTTGCAATCAAAAGGAAACTAGCGGTATTCTTATCTCTCTTCGCAACCAAGCAAACCTAACATTCTAATTTGGGTTGTTGATAGAAATCATGATAATTAAAGAGTGATATAAACAAGGCATAATCCACCGTAACAAAGCCAAAAAAATCACACATCAAGTAAACTAATGATAACAAAAGAAAGAGAGAGAAGAAGTTTAGCCAGAGAGAGAGGATGTAGTTACAGGATCCATATCAAAGGATGCTCGTTTTTCTTTTTCTTATATAGTTGTTATTTTTTTACTTTCTAATTCGGCCTGTCTAAAGTGGAAGTCAGGAAAAGCGATATATGGATCCAATGTACTAATAATATTTTGTTTTGCATGTGTCCCAAGTCACATGTCAATAGCCCACGATATCCTTGATTTTGATTGCCACCTCTTCCATAATTGTAGCAATAAATATACTAGTAAAGACGCATAACATCGAGCAGATAACTGGGGCCCTTTAGTAGGACCATAAGGACAGTATTTAATGGGCTAAGCCCAAGTATAATTTGAATGGGCCGATTTTTGTTTTGCTTTTTGTTTTGCTTTTTGTTTTTACCTTGTCTTTCTGGACAGATGAGTAGGTAACCAGAGTTAAATTTATGAATACTTGACCCAAGGGGATTCTAGAGAAAGGCTAAAACAGTACAATGAAAATCCATGCAACTAACTTTTGAATTAATTACCTGATTAAATTACTCGTGATCGCCATTTACTTTATAAATAATAAAGCGCTTATATAAGTTAAACACGGTACGAAAACATCAGTGATATTAATAGGTAGTAATATAACTAGTTACAAATAAATCCTGCAGATTTATCATCATGAATTTCATTGCTTTCAGGTTAAAACATGTTCAACAAGAAGAGTGATAATAATTATTACCATAATAATAATAATAATAATAATAATAATAAGAAAACATTTCAAAAATAGATAAAATACATGATATTAACATGATTCATTACTTGGATTCCACGTTAAGAAAAGTTTTTTCTTGTTATATTTTCATATTATTTATTATTTCTCTTACAAGAAAGATGCCCGAGGTTTTTGAGTTTAAAAAGCAAATAAATCGTTAAGTTGTGAAAATCGATGTGAATATAACTTGCGGTTTAGTGTACTATGTAAAGTTAACACGGAGGTCTTGTTAGTTGTCTACATTATAAATATGGACATTATTTTTTTTGTATTGTCAAACGATTAAAAAAACCTAATAAGAACTCCTAATGGAACTGTAGAGTAGGCATATTTATCAAACTACGTAAATCTTGTGTTGTCTAATTATTTATTGTCTTTCTCTTTATCTTTTTACTTGATTTATTTTCTAACAAGCTGGTACTAGAG